GAGCTTTATGATGCTCTTATTGACAAAGTAAAACTGTATCGAAGATGCTTCTCAAGAAGATGTGAGTTGCAATTTTTTCCTTGAATTATTCATCTCCTAATAAAGAATACTGTTCTTGTGTACATTTAGAATAAGCTTTTTTCTCTGAGATTTGTATCTGTACTACTTAAAAGCTCTTGCGCAACCGGCATGCTTTGCGACTGTATTTACAAAACAGGCCTAATACTCTACTGTAAAAAAATACATAACGCAGTCTATTTCTCAAGACAGCTGCCGCTAAGCATGCTGGTTGCGCGAGAGCTTTTAAGCTTGAGAACAATTATTTTGTGCAGACTTTTATGCAGAGTTTGTTAATGACAAATCAATGGCTGCAGTCTTTTGTGTGGAATAGGAGACAGTGGCAAGTGTTTGACGAATAGGACAGGGGATACAAGAGTAAGACAGTTTAAGGGATATTATAAGGAAAGATTGATAAGGAAATAGATGTAAAAGGTGTTATTTATAGGTAGAAGGGAGGTAAATGAAACGGATGTAGTGAGAAGATAGAGTGGAGAGGGGGATATTAGAGAAAGGATAACCCAATGGAGAAGAGAAGGAAAAGGCGAAGTTAGAAGAGAAAGGGCGGTAGAAGAGAAAGGGCGGTAGAAGAGAAAGGGCGGTAGAAGAGAAAGGCCGCTAGAAGAAAAAGGGCGGTAGAAGAGAAAGGAAAGTAGAGGAAAAGAGATCAAATCAATGGAAAATAAATTTACACATGACAGAAAGTTTGAAAATAGGTATTTTAAGGAAAATGGTGTGAGAATTGCATGAAAACAAAATGTAGAAAAGAGCGATAGAAGACAAAGGTTAGAGACAAGACGAAAGCAGAAGAGAGTTGTCAATATGTGACAAAGTTAAAGCGTATCGTTAAAGTGAAAGAAACTAGATGAGACTTGGTAAGGAAAAACTAGTTGTGTTTTAAAATTATTAGATACTAGTTTCTTTTTAATTAATATTTAGTTTGAGAGATATATTATTTGGAATTTATTCAAATGAAGAATCGCTATTAAAAAGTTTGGTTTTAATTGAAAGCCTGTTCCTTTGCAGCGTTACAGTGCAACGAATCAATGATACGCGACTGCTATGAAAACTTCAAGCAGAACAAAACGAAAACCTGCAGCAAAGTGCATAAGCTCAGGTTCTGTGTTCTTCTTCTGCGACCAAGAGGGTGTCATGAAATGCGCAATCCGTGGTACACTTTGGTGATTGGGATGATTAAAAATTACCGCTCTTGTTTCATTCGTAACTACACGATCCTTCTCGAGGCATTGCAGAAAAATAAACCAGGTATTTTGAAACCAGGATTTTCATTGTAATTTAAAAATTAAACTAACCCTACCACTGGATGCAGGGGCGAAACTACCGGGGGGGTGTGGGGGGGTGTGACACCCCCCCAATCCAAAAAATAGTCGATTTCGCAGGGCAATCGAAGATTTCGCAGGGCGCCAAGAAGAGCTTTGTTGCCACGCAGAAATGCCACCTATGAAGTTCGTAAAGGACCGTTCACGAATTTTGAAATGGAAATATTATATTTGTTATAAACCTCCCTTCCTGACATTGCATTTTAGAGAACGGAACAGGTATGTCAGGAAGAGCTCCGTTATTAGCAAAGCGAAAGCATTCCTTACCGAAAGTCATAGCCAATGGATGCAATGATTGATGCATATGTTTATGAGGGCAAGATTGAGTCCATATAAATTAATTTAAGTTGTAAATTATTTTCATGACAAGCACGGCGTCACTGGGGAGGAATAAGGGGCTGAAGTCCCTCACTTTGGTCAAGATAGGATTTTTTTATCATTTTTTTCTATTACTTTTTAACAGTGCATGAACTAAAAAACATAAAAAATCGTTAAGATACCGATTTTGTTTCATCGAATTGCTAACTTTTTCACGTAAATTTTTATTATTTTTCTTTTATTTGCATTAATTCAGTAAATCATTTTCTGTATCATTGCAATGTTTTAATTTTGGATGTGTAAACATGGCCTTCTTGACACAAGAAACTGCACATTTCTGTTCAGGAAAAAAAAATTCTCCCAATCAAAACAACATCTTCCTCTGTCATTCACAACTACGTGCAATCTGAAACGAAAGGTTGCCGTTTCTTTCCTTCCCCAACGTCTAACACTAGAGTTTTAGCATGACATCCCCCTTCCTATTTTTCCCAATCAACAATAATATTTTCAATAAACAATCAGTTCTTTTAGCACAATAGTATTTTGCTAAATTTTTGTCTGAAAGATGCTTTTCAGCCCTTTTACAAGGTATAATTTCAAAAAATTTCTTCACTTCGGACCCAACCATGGTGGGTCCTCCTACCTCACTAAACTCGACTTTTAGCCCCACTGGGCTAAATTTTGTTGCGCTGTCTACATCATGTACCTCCCCCCCCCCAATTAGCTCTTTATTAGCTTAATTTTGCAAACCAACACTAAATGAAGTGAATATAAAAAAACAATTTACGCTCACGTAGAAAAATAGAAATTTCATAGGCAATTAAATTGCAAGTTTGTTTCTTTTGCTTAGAAGTTTGTCCTTGGTAAAGACCAGTGTACACTGGTAAAGCTTTCACTAGTAACGTATAGACAAACCGTTGCTACTAGGTCTGCAGGGCACCACTCAGTTTTGCAGGGCAGAAACCCTTTTCACCCCCCCAAAACTATTGGCCAAGTTACGCCCCTGACTGGATGATATCAACGTGCAAATGAACACAGCCTAAAAGCTCGCGCGCATAATACCCCGCGTTTCTACTCAAGACATTTATATTTCATGATGTTGAATGTAACTTTTTTTGTAGTGCCAACGACATTGTTGAGTGATTTGGTTAAGAACAGAACAACTGTTAACATGGTTACTTGTGGTCGGAGTCAGAACGTTTTAGAGCGAAAGATTGGCTATACATTCTTCGGCGCACTGTTCTTTTGTTTTTTGGTACTTTTATCTGTTGTGTTCCTTGTCATTTGCATCAAGAAATCCGGAATTCCGCGCAAGAATCGAAGGACAATGTTAGAGTCACAAGCTGCTTTGGGTAGCGAGACGACCCATATGGACGCGCGGTATTCTCGGACTTGTGTAACTGGGGGTCGCACCCCGTTGACATACATAATTGAAGAAGACGAAGCACCACCGCCATACTACTTGGATGGTCTGTTTGTAGACGATATCGAATCGCCGCCTCCCTATACTAGTCGGCCAACGTCAATAAACGGCGATTTCGTTTAATTCAAACTTATGTCGTATGGCGTACGGATTGGCAAAAATAGGAATGCTGCTTTGTTGTTTCGCTCGTACACACGAGGTTGCTGCAAAGAGCACGTGGCGTTAGGCAGCATTTTCTTCTCATTGCCAAGCTTTCTTGTTTGCCTCTTTATAATGGAACATGGTGGCACATGGATCATTTGCGGCCACCTCCTACGAACTGGGCAGGACTCCCGTCCAACAGGGAACCAACCCGATTGAACATTGGGAATTTGTGTATGATTTGAGAATTTGTGTATAAATACTAAACTTGTAATGAGCTTGTAACATAAATCATTAATTGTTTTAAATTTGTATTCGTTTTATGTGCGGCATTTTGTACTGGTCGCCAGCCCTTTTCCTAATATCTTTGATTTTTGCTTCTCAGTATTGAAGAGTACTGCTACATGGTGTCAGGTTAAAATCAAGCCACCTGTAAGCATTAAAAAGGAAGGGACGTATTTCCTCTAATAAATGCCCCGGTATCTTGATTTGATCGAGGAGGCCTCTAATGTAGATGTAACAAGAACTCTCGACATTTGCAAATCTCGACGCCTCAAACAGAAATCTCCTTTTTATTGTTAACATAAAGGTAAAACACAAACCTAAATATGTTAACATAGCAAAATAAAGCTACAAGCGTTTTGGACTTGAATGGGCCTAACTTCCAAAGGTGACAATAGGGAGCACCCGATTGAGGTTAATGTTTTTTGACATTCAAATGAGACTTTCAAATGAGAATGTTGCACCCCAAACTTGTGATTAATGTTTTGAAACCGTTGTCAGATTGTTTGAAAAATCAGGGTTTCCTGCCCGCTAAATTTTTTTCATTTGAAATCGAATGTAAATCATTAGTTAATTGCGAGTAGATTAAAAAAGATTATGATAACTCAGATTTGTTTCTTGTCTTCTGCCCCTCATTCAAATTATTTTCTGCAGGGTATAATTTATCGCTCAACAAACCGAATTGGGGAAAATCAAATTTTAAAGGTTTTTGGTTTATCCAGTGTTTTGGAGCACAACGTTGACAAGGCTTTTATGGTAGGCTACAGTTTTAAGACAAAACTTGGGGCATTATTTGTGAGGGATGGAGAAAGAAATTATTGAAAAGAAATACTACGTAGAGAAAAGAAAACATGCTACGTAGGACGCACTACCCAAAGATTGGAGGATAGAATAAAACAACATGTTCCGCCTAGTATTAGAAACAAAACCCATCCCCAAAGAGAACAGCCACTTCGGTCTTGCAAATCTAAAATTACAACTAAAACCTGCGATTCTGCTATCAGGCAGCATTCACTGTAAAACCCAGATTGTGCAAAAAACTATTATGGCGACATGTTTCGGATTATTGGTAAAGCCCGATCGTCGTTCCACCTAGCAGTTTTGGAATCTATCTACATAAGCACGAAAAAACCGCTATTGTGTAGACAAAGGGAGTTCGTTTTCACCTTAGGACTCCATTGGTAACATTCTCAATAGACAAGCGGCACTGATTGGTCAACCTATACAGTCATGTGCTCGTGTTTTCTGATTGGCCTATTTCGATCCACAACTGTGTATATATATTTCCTAGCGTAGAGTTTTCGATCATGTTCTGACGTTTAAAACTCTGAAGAGTGTCAGACGAAAAGCTTTAGTTGACTCAAATGTTTGCTTTTTTCAAAGCCATTTTCAAGTTTTGTACCATCAAAAGATTGTTTGAAAAGAAATATTGACGGAACTGAATAAATAACTGTGTTACTTTCAATGATTATCTACATCTAATCTATTTCTATTTGTTCGACTTTTGGTTTTGTAACCATTGCTTGTGAACCGACGCTGTGTTTTCGTTTGGTCCCCTTATTGCCAGTTTTATTCATCGCAGTGTCTGCGCCAGTTGCAATCTAGGGAGGTATAAAAGTTAATCACTATTTTTACCGAGGCCGCCTGCACCGAAATCTTTCTGCGTTATTAGAAACATTGCTGTTATGTTTAAGTATGTAAATCATTCTTAAATAAATCACGACAAACAAGATCAAAATAAAGCAGAAAAGTACTATAGAGTAGGCCTTTGGTTAACAATGTGAGGGTTTGGCATACAAAATGAAGGTAAGTTTGGGTAAGGAGCCCGTGCTTACGTTATGATCCAAAAATAGAATATGGTATTAATTAACTGTTCAGAAACTGTTGTCTTACCGCAGACTTTGGGCCTGCAAATGTCTCGGGCATCTCAGGATGTCCACTTCCTGTATCAGTAGCTTCACATTTGAAGTCTAGACTTAGAGCTATCTTGCCGCGGGTCGCTAAACTATTTCTTGGTCCTTCAACTAAATAGCAGATGTTATTATATGGAGTGAAATGAATGTCTTCTTTAAGGACTTCATCTAAAACGAACTTAACGATGACTCGTTCACAGTCCTCTCTGCTCATATCTGGCCGTCGCAGCTCAGGCACCCTTAGAGGCACTGGTCCTTGTTTTAACCAAGCATCCAGTAGTTTATTTGGCGTCAAACGTTCTTTTCGCTTGGCTGCATTTTGCAAAATGGCAGTCAAATCAGCAGCATATTTTGTTATGTCTTTGCTGATGTATCCTGGTGAAAGATTATAAGAACAGATAATACAACGTTAAACAAGCGCTAGAGCTTTTTGGAAATAGTGGGGCCAAGGGGCAGAGCCCAGAAAAGTGTTCAGCCTCCCTCCAGATAATGCCCTCAAGCTGCGAAAGCGTTCATCTAACCTGGGCACCAGAGCCACATAGATTAGGGCACAGAAATAAGAAGATAGGAGTGGAGAAGCTCAGGTACCCTGGGTAGCGTTCAACAGAAAACAAGGCGGGATTTTTAAAATGGTACGTTAAGTCTTTATTTACTTTCATTGGCTCTCCTCACAGTCCACGACTGTATGACAGCCATATGCTTTAGGCAAGAGAAGCTGCTATATTTTGTCACATCCATGAAATTAGAAGGTGAGCATACCATTAGCAGAAGTCATGCAGTTGTCACACATCTGTTTACAAATGTCTTTGCCCCAGGCCTCTCCAAAATGCTTTCCAAGTGATGTTCTTCTACAGCATTTCAAGGCGATACAGTATTTAATCATGGCATGGAGGTTTTCTGTTCCAGTCTGTTCCATGAATACTGATGAAATTTGCCGAAATACGTCCGAGAACTTGTAGAAGAGAATACAATGTGACAGTTTGCTGTCACGACCAGCTCGTCCACTCTCTTGGTAGTAGTTCTGTATTGATTTGCTTATGGAATTGTGAATGACAAACCTTACATCAGGCTTGTCAATACCCATTCCAAATGCTATTGTCGCAACTATCACCTTCACAGTGGAGGAAAAAACATACTTAATTATAATGAACAGTGTTTCTTTCAATGGGATTGCAACATGTATGCATTTTATTGAGTTGTATTAAATTGAATTTTCATTTATCACAATTCTGCAAAACATAAGTAATAATAGAAGTGTTATTTTACATTGAATTGTAGCGTGTCACCATACTACTGTGCATGTATGGTATGGGGTTTTTCATGGTGTATTCTACAGTATCGCAATATTGTCATGCATGTGTAATATTGGGTTTTTCTTTCTTGAATAGTTGTGTATCTCAATACTACTAAGCATGTGTGATATTGGGTTGTAACACATTGACTTCCGGTTTCTGACATAACTATCTTGAATTGCCTTCTAATGTCTGTTTTGAAGAGAGGAGGGGCACTGACATTGCAAGTTCCACATGCTTGTAACTGTTGGCTTACCTGAACCTTTTTTGAAATCCAGTCCCTATGATTTTTAGATTTAACTTTGAAGTCAAGGTCAGAATGATAGCAGGCAGCTCTGATTCCATATTTCCTTAGCTCCATCGTCAATGTATCCACCTCTCTTCTTGAATAGCAGTATACAATACCTTGAATAAGACACTAAATTGTTAATGTTATCCTTGTCACTGCACACTGTCATCACGATAATTTCAATTGCTCATTACCATCAGCAATCATTGTTATAACCATTAATTACATTTTTCAATCATTATGTTATCAAAATAACTATCCCATGACAAACCAAAATCAACCAACCTGACTCGTTTTTGAATTCGGATTGAATAGTTGAAGCAATATAGCAAATTTGATCTTTCTCAGATGTCGGTGATGGCCTCACCTACGAAAACAATTTCATTTGCAAATTGATGTGCATTTGCTTTAAGCATATGTCTTGGTCCAGCATCAAAACAAAACAATTAGAAACACATTGCATACATTAAACTTTGTGCTTGTAACCATAAAAACGATCATGTGCTTGGGAGGTGATTGGACATACACTTTCATACCTCATAAAAAAGATTTGGTCTGTTGAAAGATGTTCTTAGAACAACGCAACCTTCGTTCAAAGATAACATCTTCATTACATCATCAATAACCTTTCCTGTTGCTGTTGCTGTCAGTCCAATGACAGGTAAACTTGGAAATTGCTTCTTCAGAATTCCAAGAATTTTGTAGTCTGGTCTAAAGTCATGACCCCATTGACTCAAGCAATGAACCTCATCAATTACTATCCTTGAAATGTTTCCAACTGCAATAACAAACAGTATTGGACATTGTGTTACTTTTATAAGACAAAATGAATGAATTGAAAAGTAACTTAAAAACTAATCTGATTCTTAGGTGGAACTGCAGTTGTCACACATAAGTGTAATCTTATAAACTGTGCTGAGTAGCCTGCTATCAATAATTCCCAGAACGTACTTGAAAACCATACACAATATCACATCACCCTCTGATTTTAGCATGCTTTGCCCCCTTCCACCCAAAAGAAACTTTTATTCCACTCAATCCATAAAATGCACTGTAACCACAGGCATCACCCGGTCCCTAAAAAAGAGTGGATTATTAAGAGACCATAGTTATTTTAGTGGAAAAAGGTAAATATTTGGTATTCCAAAAACATAGAAAAATTAAGATCTAATTGGAAGCATTTGAAAAAACAAACCATTGTAGCACTTTTCTAGCTTGGCCAAAAATCTTTTACTTTTTGCAATCTTTTCTGGTGTAACATACAGTAGTTTCAGCGGCATGGGGCCTTTACTAATCATTAAATCATGGACATATTTCGTTTGTTCTTTGGTGCTGCTTGCATTCAATAGAGCTGCTTCTATATTCAGATCTGACAAACTTATTAGCTGATCCTCAATCAAAGAAATAAGAGGAGATACAACCAGCGTAAGACCTTTCGATAACACAGCTGGAAGCTGAAAACATAAGCTCTTTCCAGCCCCTGTTGGCATAAGAACAATGCAGTCAACCCCTGACATAGTGGCATTTATTGCATCCCGTTGCAATGCACGAAACTTTGCCAACTTAAAGGTTTCTTTTAGGCACTTCTCTGCATTCTCAGTCCAGGAGAATGATCTACTTCCCCAATCAATGCTCCTTTCTTCGCCACTTTCTTTCGTATGAACTGTTTTTATACCTTTTTCAATCTCATCTTTCCTTTCTATCAAAAGTTGCTGTCTTTCAAGCAACTTATTGATCTGAGTTTCAAGATGCTCGAGCTCAACCTTCACTTGTGACAACTCAGTGGTCAAATTTTGCAACTCTGCTGCTTTTCTTTCCATTTGAATCAATAATAAACAAAAATTCTAACACCACGATCGAGTGAAATACATTTTCCCGGTTTTTGCACATGTATCAACATTTCCAATTAAAATGAGGTCGTTATCAACAAGAGGCTTTTCGCCCCGCATTACTGCTGATGGGCTGGGTGGGCAGTACATAACAGCTTCCAGTGTTGCTATGTACATTTTTCGTATTCAACTACTTCCAGAAAATGGCGCTGAACAGAAAAGTTCGTGCCAAATCTGCCCGGGACAGAAAAATTATTTATGAAAACTCAGCAAATGATTATACAGGAAACAGCCAAGAGTTTCTAATTGGACATTATTTAAAAAGTCTTAATGACAGCGATAAGAAGATAAGTCTTGGATCAAGGTAAGGTGTTTTGCAATGACAATTTATTATATGCTGTTAATTTGGTAGTTGCACTTTTTTAGCTGCTACTGTGCACGAAAAGAACTGTTTGGGTTCCAACATTGGAACTAGTCGACCACCGTTCTATTTGGGGACCACATATCAAGATCTTAAATGTTTCTTTCTCAAAAGTTGAACTGACTGGCGGCCGGAATATTTAGAAATCAAGGTGTAGGGAAGTCAGTGCTGTGTTTATTCCATTCCTTGCAATATCTAAGAGTTATAGGTAGTTAAAGGTTGCGATGTTTGTTCCATAAAAACTTAGTTTGTTTTTTGCTGTTGAAATTTCTTAGACAACATCGAAAACATTCTATTAAACATTTATATATTTTAAGACTTGATGCCATATTCCTATTTTATTCAATATTTAGGAAAAAACAAGATGATAAACCAAGACTGACTTCAAAAATTAAAAGATTTAATTCACATTCTTCGTTATCCGAGGAGATGGTTAGAAGCAATATCCATTCTAAACAATCATTCAAAGATATGGGACCTTATGCATGGACTCCTATGACAACAAGAACTGCTGTTGGATTCGGATTAGACACTCATGGCAGCCGTACCATTACCACATTGCGAAAGACAAGGCCAGAGTCTGCACCGGGTTTACGAATTAGGTATCTTGATAGTCACCTGCCAAATTTTTTGTTATACCACAATTTGTATTATCTTCACAGAGATATTTCGACAACCAGATTTTTACATCAAGTTTTAAACTGTAAACATTATATCACAGTGACTGAGTGAGTGTTTTTACTGTAACTTTACTGACATTTAAAAGATTTTCAAAGTTTTTCAGTGTATAAACGCTTACCAACCCGGCAGTGCTGACCAGTTTATTTTCTAATATTATCGCTTTTCTATTATTAAGACTAACCTACTAACTGCTAGTATGCAATACCCATTATGGGGACTGTACTATAACATTTAGAATAGATTAAGATGTTGGTCAGCAGTTCTTTGGATCAGTTATTTTACATTCATGATGACATCACAAGAAAGTGAATTGCATAGCTTCACAGCTTTCCTTTGTGAATCTAGGTACAAGCAAAAAAACATAAAATTTCAACTCTTGCACTTCATTTCTAAAGTAATGATTAGACCACTGGGAATAATTGTGAGAAATAATTTGTGGGAAATAATTGTTCAGCTAATTCATGTCTGGGAGGTTTTAACAACTTCTAGTTGTCATAATTACTTGCAAGGCTAGAAACACATCTGTTGTTGCATAAGCAACCAGGAATGAAGCAGGGACAGATTCAGAGCAAATTTGAAAGAGGGGCAGTTGGTAGTGGGGCGCTGAAATTTTTTCAGAAATTGGTGACATGAGTATGCCTATAATGCTGTATGAAACCAATTTTGACCCTGACTACTGACACAAAGCTCGCATTCTAAAAACATTTTTGAAATAATTGTGTCAAAGCACTGATATATAGTCTGAGCATAACTGAAGGTCTCTTATTAGAATTTCTCTCTTAATCGTTAAATTTTCTGGCTGAACATTATCAACTATGATAATATCAACTTTACAGTCATAATCTACTTTACTATTAGTAGTATGCAAAAGGGGCTGGCCTGGGGTTCTTTTTACCTACAGAGAAATCAGACTTTTGGACCCAGAAAATTTGCTGCTTTTGGTTTAATTTTCAATTAGAGTATGGCTGTATAGTTAGACAGTACTTTAATTAATGCACCTAAAATTCAATAATACGCCATTTTACCCTGGGTACCAGATCCTCATGAATCTGGGGATACAGTATTGTAGACGGCGGTGGTGGCAGTCTGAGCATAACTGAAGGTCTCTTATTAGAATTTCTCTCTTAATCGTTAAATTTTCTGGCTGAACATTATCAACTATGATAATATCAACTTTACAGTCATAATCTACTTTACTATAGTACTATGCAAAAGGGGCTGGCCTGGGGTTCTTTTTACCTACAGAGAAATCAGACTTTTGGGCCCAGAAAATTTGCTGCTTTTGGTTTAATTTTCAATTGGAGTATGGCTGTATAGTTAGACAGTACTTTAATTAATGCACCTAAAATTCAATAATACGCCATTTTACCTTGGGTACCAGATCCTCATGAATCTGGGGATACAGTATTGTAGACGGCGGTGGTGGCAGCAAAAATTATTTCTGTGGCTGGTTTCAAACTATATTTCTGAGACTATTTAATGAAGACTCTGGCACCCAGGGTAAATTTATTATTGCAAAAGGCCACTATGATTGGGGGCAGAAAGAGTTTTGAAACTACAACATTCTAGAGATGGCCAGAAAATTGGTCTGGGCTATTTCCAACATCGAACCACATGAGAACCAAAGTTCCTAGGAACAACAGACAACTATTCTATCATAATTATGTTCCATAGTTCTATTTGCTTTGATTGTGACATGGAGATTGGACAAATGCCCCTAGTTGCCCCCCTTCAATCTTTCTAGAATAATGTATGCAGGACCAAGTCAATTCTGTGGTAATTCAATTCAGTCAGCCCCAAGGAACAGACATTGTGCCAATACAATATTAGATTAACATCAATTTCTCTTGAGATCACCATCACTGAATGTTTCTTCACAATGCTGACTATTTAGCAGATATTGTTTTATTCATTTTGCTTTCTTCTTTCGGGGTAAGAATGAAAATATGTTTAATTTTGTTATCAGGCGCTCCGGTTCCCTGAGTTCATTAGATACAAACTCCTCAGCATCATTTACAGGTATCCATTCTCTTTTGTAATTATTTTCCTTTGTTTGATATTTATTTATAGAAACTGTCTTCTTTCTTTCTTGCTTTCTTTTTTTGCTTTCTTTCTTTCTTTCTTTCTTCTTTCTTTCTTTCTTTCTTTCTTTTTTTCTTTCTTTCTTTTTTTCTTTATTTCTTTCTTTCTTTCTTTCTTTCTTTCTTTCTTTCTTTCTTTCTTTCTTTCTTTCTTTCTTTCTTTCTTTCTTTCTTTCTTTCTTTCTTTATTTCTTTCTTTTTTTCTTTATTTCTTTCTTTCTTCCTTTCTTTCTTCCTTTCTTTTATGCTTTCTTTCTTTTTTTCTGATAGAGTCTTATTTAAGCAGGTTTTACCCTAAGGATTTTAGGTAGACATGCTGCCCAATGATTTTGATCTTTGTTTACATCCAGTAGTCACAGTAAATTCTCCTACATTGTTGATGTCAATAGCACAAACAGAGCCTTTTCAACGTACTAACTAAAGGGCAATCTTGGCATTCAAATGCTTTTTCAACTGTGTCAAACATTAGAGATAAATAAAATACTGTATTACTAGCCAGAGATCAGGGATTTGTCTTTTTGCTCAACGATAGCTAACAATAGCTTGCTAAATATTTCTTAATCATTTAATATTACCAGAGTGTTTTTCTGTATTGTATATGCTTTCCTAATTACATAATTATGTTAATACCAGCTTCGTTAATAACGTCACATGCATCATCAAGAGGAAGGAAATCAAAGAAGGGCTACATGGAAAAGAATGTGACACTCTGTGTGCATGCATTTCCAAATGGCAACCGAAGCCAGTCTGTTAGAGTCACAGCAAAGAACTTGTTCCAGGTAACACACTTGTTTAGGATTGGTTTGCCTGAGTCAGCTTTTTCTGATAGAAACAGTTTATTTTGTCAAAATAACTCCTTACCAACAGGTTCTTCCAGAGAGTTTTAGCAAGAGTTAAAGCTGCCTAAGTTGGTCAAGTCATTTAGACTTTTTACAGTTTTTCAGATAGAGTTTATGTTTTCTTGGCCTACATATTATATGCAAACAAGAGAGTTTCTTTTTGACGATGCTATGCGGTCAATATTACACAGTAAATGTATGTGGCCGCAAAAAGCAGTTATATCGTTACCTTTTTTAGGTTTTAGAAGAAGCAACCGAGAAACTTTGCCTTCCTTCAGCCGGGAGAAAGATTTTTCTTCCAGATGGAACAGAAGTGACCTTCGCACATCAGCTTTCTAAGGACTGTGCTGTCTACATATCAATGGGAGAGCCGTTCAAAGACCCATATCAATCATTACGGGGTATGACTTCCTTTGAAAGAGATGTTAGCATGATCATATTTTCTGGATAATTGGTAATAATTCATTATGTCGTTAAGAGTTATTTAGAAGATTATCTAATTCTGTAAGTTAAGGACAGTTTCGGACAGTCTGTGTAAGGTCACCAGAATGTAAACTAAAAGGTTTAAACAAAATCTAGATAATGATATTACCAAGTCAAGTCTCATTTGGACGGGTCGTTGTTATAAAATAACTTAATTTGTGCATAAGCAAGATTATCCAACAAAATATTAAATATTAATTGGTCACTTTTTGAAAAAATACAAACAATACAAATTTTTAAAAAAAGTAGTACCCAGATAATTGAATAAAGGAATTAAATATTAATAGCCAGTACGACGACAAAGAAAAGAGAATCATGTATTTGTCAACTTCTTGCTACATCTTGGACAATTCCAATTAAGACAAATCCATTAAGACATTAAGATATTAAGACAGTTCCAATTTAAACATTGCGACAAGTCCATTAAACTAAATTGAATAACGTGTCGACTCTGGCTAGAGTCATCTTCAGCATGTCAATTTAATGGACTTGTTGTAATACCTAAATTGGAACTGTCTTAATGTCTTAATGGATTTGTCTTAATTGGAATTGTCCACGATGTAACAAATACATTATTTTTTTGTCGTCGTACTGGTTATTAATTTCATTATTAAGCTGCGTTCTCCGAAATCTAAATCTATTCAAAGGAATTAAATATTGGCTTTGTTCAAACACTGTTGAAATTGACGAAAGAAAGTGCTTGAAGAGAATATGTTTTTGACAAATATCCATTTTGAATTTGAATTGTCACTGTAAATCTTGGGCTTTAAAGAATTTCTTCAATTTTAAAATTTATTTTCCAATTATCTATAGTATTTTTTTAACACGACAACGCTTTTTTTCTAACTGCAGAGAACGAAAGAATTCGCCTCTCCTCCTCATGGACAATCAGCGGGATAATGCTGCCAGAGGAGAAAACTTGTAACAAGAAGGCATCACTATCGAAAAGGATGAAAGAACTAGTCGAATCTCAAAAGTACAGAGTGCTTGTGTTTAAAAATGGAGACAGCCGAGACTGTGCTGAGGTTGTCTGCAACAGATTTGATGAGGTAAATGTCTTCCGGATTTTAATGTCCATATTCTAAAAACCTTGGGCCATAGTTTTTGTGGACAGACAGAATCTTTATTGCACTGAGTAGATGTTATTTTTGCGACGGACTACGTCTCCTAACGAACCGCCGTTTTTCGTTATAGTTTTTGGACGACTGCACTCTGAAACTTGGCCTGAACAGCAGTGCACGCGCGTTGTATGATTGGCAAGGGAAGGAAATCAAATGCTTTTCAGAAGGTATGTCACTGCTTGGCTATATTAAATCTTTCTTCTGCATGTCATTTAATGACAAGAAGAAGTTTATATCAGTTTAGCCTTTCAAAATTTCTGATTCATGAGGAGTAGCTTTCAAATTCAGACATTTTCACTTTCTTTTTATATTATATTCAGTATCCATATTATCTCCACCTTCAGTCCCAGTCATAAATGACACGATGCAAACGTCCCATGGAAGTCTGCTTGGTCCAGTTTGGGTGACAAAAGGGGAACGATTCAGCCCAACTGGCTCTTACGATTTTATAATGTCAGCAGTTTTGGACCTTAAAGAGAAGGTAACGGAGAAAGAAAAACGTCTTGAGCTGGTAAGAGAAACTGCTTTCTTTGAAATTTTTTGTAAAAATGAACCTTGTTCTAAACTAAATCGTCTTTCACAGTACGTTATGGTCTTGTATATTATTTCATCTAAATTCTTATTATCTTTAAAGTTGGAGGCTAGAAAAAGTGGAAAAGAGGTCGCGGATCCTGAGATGGCATCCCGATCAATTGCGGAAGTTCAGAGAGAAATATCTGAGGTAGAGAAGTTAAAGATTTTGCAAATATTAGAGAGATTCATCAGCTGAAAACTATTGAATTTACGCTGATTCTATAATGAATTTTAACTTCGCTGAAAATCAGACAAGCCTATTTACCATTAAACAACAATTCAAAGCGATCAACGTTACCTTTCTAGAAATTGATCAAATTTTTGTTCTAGAATAAATACTGATATTTTTCACATCTAAAAGTTTTTGCAATTTCGCTTTTTACCGTAAAAGCTTTATTAATTTATCTATCTACCCCCTCCTTCCCTTTAAAGTCCTCTCCTCCATTGTACAAGATAGTCAATAAAGAAAAACATTAAAGCATATTGTGATGTTCTCGTGTTAAATATTTAAATTTCGTGATGACATTTGCTTAGACTCGTAAACTCTAACTTTTTTCCATTTGAAAACCCCTCTTATAAGCCCTCCCTAAAGCCCCTTTTTTAAACTCCAAAATGAAACGAGTCCCTAGGTCTTAATGGGGCTAGCGCTAAATAAGCCTCAAACGTTGAGCCATACGTCAAAAATTTATCGTTTGGGTTACGTTTGTCTAAATTTTTACGATTTTTAACAGGCTAAAGATGCTATTGAGGGGTACAAAGCCACATTAAAAACATTTAAAGTGCGGCTCAAAATTCTGAAAAAGATGAGTCAAGAGGAAGAATCTTTCGGAAGCTCTTACAAGTTCCAACATATTGCCGAAGTAAGTGAAAACAGCCGATTGGTTGGTACAAAGTCATATCGCCTGAAGATCTGGAGGAATGGAGATAAAAGTTCTGATGCAATTGTTGTCTACTTTAGCAGCAAAGATTTACGAAAAGGAAAAAGAACGCAAGATGAGCTATTGCAAAGTTTCTTTAGTTTTTTGAACAGCAATCAATCATTAAAGGAAGCGTTTATTGGACATGGAAGACGAGCGGAGTTTAAGAGAGCTTTTCTTCTGAACGGCACAGAAGTTTTAGATGTTGATGAGCTTTGTAATGATGCAGAAATCTGGCTTTCTCTTGGAGAAGACTTCATTCCAATTGAGTGTAGGTGGAAACCTAGCATTTTTCTTAGCCTTCTTTTACAAGGCTATTTTTTGTATTAGTTTATTTTTTTGACTTGATTTTAACATGATTTTGTCCTAATAGATACAGGAAGTCAGGGACGCCGGAGAGGGGGGCGCGGGGGGTCAACCGCCCTTGTTGCCTTTTGATAGGAGGGGCAAGGGGGGCTAAAGTGCCCTTTTCATAGAAGTGCCCTTGACGCCGGCCTTTTGTAGGAAGTCCATGAGATTCATTCTTGATGATTCATATGAAATCCTGACTATAGTATCTTATTTATGACGACATTTCTCGAAACTTGTGAAGAAATTTCTTATGCCAAAATTTAACCGGTTTTTAAGATACCAACAAAAGATCGAAACAAAATGACAGTTACGAATAAATTGTTGGTAGCTGGGAAATAATTTTTTCAAATGCCCTTTTACTCAAGACCGCCCCTCCCCCCTTGCCCTTGGTCGTTCCGGCGTCCCTGCAGGAAGTAAAATACACGGTCTTTGGAAGAGAACAGTTATGAGCTGAATGCACTTATCTGGCAACTGTACTTAGACAACAGATGTTTTCAAAATCAGTCTTTGTTTTTGTAGACGATATTATTGGCCTTACTACAGAAAAGGTTAAATTGCTAAACCTTTGGAACGAACGGTCCTTTCTACAGCGCGATTTGTGGCCTGGGGCGGATGACAAGCAAGCAAAAGCCTCGTTATGGACAGCAACATCTGTTCTTTCGATAAGTGAAATGGACAAACAAGTGATCGAGGAGTCAACTATAGAGGAGCAAAAAGTCCGGCTTGTGCAGGACGTGAATGAGAACAGAATCAGAAACGACAACGTGTTTCTTCAAAATAAAAAGGACAAAGGCCTTGTTTTGTACCCAGAATTGCAGGTCATTCGTAAAGGGAGAGACGATCAATCTGATTTTTGGGGCGAGGATGCCATGCAATGGATATTTACCCAGGTTTGTTCAAATTACGTCAGGGTTGCATGAAATGCCTTGTGTCTTAATGTCGTGTGCCTCAAATATCTTATTCATTTGTTTATATTAAAGATGCTTTTTTGATTTTGTCAATGGCTTAATATTTGTTTTATCTTGTCATATTCTGCTTAAGTTCATTGCCAATTAGCAAGGCGTATGTATTATGGACATCACAAAGATTTTTTTTTAAAATCTACAATTCTACGATGATCCTTTGAAGTTTAGATCTTGCAAGCTGGGCGACTGCTGTAATGTTGCTTTAAGAAGCTGTCGCGCTCAGCGGTCCGATGGCAGTTTTTCAAAAACGTAGGCAAGATCTGGCAGCACATTTTGCTCTATCTTTCATGTTCCTGTGAAATAGACCATTTTTCATGCTGTGTTTTCCTGCATACTCAGTTTTGACATGATCAGCTTGTATCTATGATGTAAGCTTCTTGCTTCGATGTAGTAAGCGTCATTTTTCAATATATAGGATGGGACAATTATGAACAAGCAGTTTATGAACTTGGTATTGTCCGTAAAAGACCAGGCCATCGCTTTTCTTAATGGTGAGACGAGAGTCGAGGGCTTTGCTGTTGGTTTTGCAATGAGGGAAATCCCTAGCATGTTACAAAACAATTCAGCTAATGAAGGGAAGCAAAGGTAATTTTTGATGTGTTTATTTTTCTTCAATCAGCCTCAAGCTGAAGTCATTCTAGCTGTAGATTTGAGCCCAAACAAGTCTGAGAAGACCTAGATATGATTTTATTTGTACAAACTTGGATAGATTTTTATTTTTGAATATTGTAACTGGGTATTTTAAAGGCAGTTATTTTAACTTGCGTAAGAAGTGTTTGATATACAAATGTTAATAAAAAATTGTAATTATAACAGCTAAAATTTTACCATTTTTTATGCCAAAAGGTGCTTGTAAAGATCAGTAAGTTTTTCTTTGTATATCTTCAGGCCGCCCAGCTCACCATGTAGATTATAATCAAGCTTATTCATTCTATGACTAGATTTGTTGTTTTATGTCAGTTTTTCAATAGTCAAGGAGCCATCTTTAGCATCAATCCTTTGTATTTGAAGCGTGTTTCATCATGCAATTTAGTATCACCCAACATCCCCCAGGCCCAGGGGAACAGTACATCGCCATCATTGAATGTATTTGTGATGTTGTATTGCCTATAAATGTGGGTCAACGGATTGATATAGAGTACACTTTAACAGTTCGTTTCTATTATTTTGCAAATATCATGTTTTCATTCTTAAACATTGCCATCTGTCATCCCCTTCGATCACCATTTGCCTTACAGACCACAAGAGCCAACCAACCCTCGTCAGAAATGGAAGCTCACTCCAAATGGGCAAATCATGTCTGCGCTCTTGCCAGATTTCTACCTGACTACAATTAATGGGCTGCGTACTGAAGCTGTTGTTCCAAACATTGAGAAATCTGACGAAGCGGCTCAAAATAAGGAAAAGTCATCAAACTCTTCTTTAAGCGATTCTGATAGCAAAACATCTTCTGAAAATGATTCAGGTATTGCCAAGCAACTTTTGCTATTTGCTATGTTCTGCGCCCTTTGCTATGTTTTTAAAAGCTCTGCTTGTTATGCTTTCATATTTCTTTGGTAGTGCTACTTAGAATTTCGTCACTCAGTTGTTGAATCAAATGCTCCCTCAAATCTTGATGTGTATTCAAAAATGATTAGATTTATTATATATTTTGACATTCTTATTTTGGAAAGCAATGCCGACAACTCAATTTATTGTCTTTGGTTTAATGTAGACAAAATCAAAAAGAAGAAAAAGAAAGTGAAAAAGAAGAAGAAGAAAGACAAGAAAAAATGGTGGAATTTCGGATCAAGCAGCAGCAGTGATAGTAGTGACGGGGAAAATGAGATTGGAAGGGAAAAGAGGAAATCCGCTGAAGACATCAGGGTTCGTATGAAGGGGACAAGTAGTGATGACGAGCGAACGCCTGTTGTGGCCGGGGAAACAGAGGGTGAAAGTGGGGAAGGAAAAGAGAGTGAAAGGATAGAGGGGGGTGGAGATAACCAAGAAGGGTCTTTGCAACAAAATGAAGCTGTGAAGACGGCAGCAGAGCTTTTAAAAGAATTGCCGGATGTATTTAATGGTGAAAGGATTGGACTTTCTGTGTTTGAAAGATTCGGTGACAAAGATCCTATCAAGATTAGACAAAGGTTAGGCAGCTTCCTTTGAAACCAGCAAATTATTGAGTTGATACTTTTAAGGCTAAGGAGTAGATATTATCATTAGTTTTGATGTATGCACATTGAACACATTGAAAGTAAGGTTTCGAAGTAGCGGTGTTGTACTACTCTGATAGTCTTACTTGTACTTTGATGGAAGTTGATGCTTCATTTTAGATGGGCCATCAAAACAGAAGATGCAGCTGCCCTCATATCGAGTTCTACCTTATCAGGAAAATGGATTCGACAAGAACTAGCTTGGCCTGTCAATGAGGCAGACACATGGGTGGAGGTACGTTTGTTTATTTGTAGTTTCATTTCTGTTTGCAAAAGCAATGTCGACCTTCGAAAATCAATGTTTGATCAATTAGCTTTTCTAAACCTTCATTAGCATACAAAATATGTTGTGTTATTTCCAATTTTGACAATGTCGTTTGCTTTCTAGGATGCCCTAAGCGGCTATTTGCTGTCGTGTGCTCCAAAGCTGAAACGAAAATTGCCAAATAAAAAGGAGCAAAGCAGCCCATTTTTCGGTGGGTCAACGAGTATTCAAAGTTAAATCATGTTCCATCTGTGTTTTGCTTTGATAAACAAATCGAATACGATTGAGAACGTCTAGTTTTCTTGAAAGCTGACAATTTTTATCACATTTTTATAAAAACATACTTGTCTATAGTGGCTCCACCGTTTTTAGCAAAGAATTTTTCCTCTTTCTTAATTATTGACCTAATTTCTAAAAATTTGCAATCATTCGTTACTATCTTTTTACAGGTTTTTGTTGCACATCATAAACCATATATAGGATGTTTTTTTTATGTTCCACAACTAAATCATTGATTTGTAAGACCTTTTGCGGACAGGGCAGCGTATAGTTTTTATTTTGATTTCGTAGGACAGCCAGCTCGTCTGAAGGTTTTGAAAAATGGGGAACACGATGTTAACCGAGCTGTTATTGTTGTTGGGCCCGACTTGTCAAATGTAAGTGGAAAGTAGACTGTTTCTTATTTCCCGTGTCGTGCATCATGTGGTATGGTGTGGATGCATAAAGATGGAGAACCGTAAAATGTTTTAAAAGAACCATGTTGTTGTCCCATTTAGACATACTAGGGAAGGTTTAAGATTTGGTTGTGAGGAACCATTCTTCTTGCAGGATCGTATTTAGATAATAATTGTTTTTATGCGACAAGTCCTAGTATTCGATGTGTGCTCCAAACCACACGGAAAAGGCCGCAATAAATTCAGAAAAAGACACACACAAGAGTCTCTTGTAACACATAATCGTAAAGATAAATTGTACAGGGCTATTTTTTTTCTAGAGAAGATTCTGGGTTTGTTTTTTGTACCAAAGCCAAGGAGATATTATGTTCCGATTCTCAAAAAAATATGTTACAATATCTAGAGTTTTTTAAACGCATCACTGTGCACATCCTGTCTTAAGAAACAATGTTATTCTTTTGCAGATGACAAGAAAAGTCACAGTGTCTTTGCCGTTAAAATGGAAGAAAAGGTTGTTAAATAAAAAGATATATTCAGTCATGATTATGATAGCGTTCGTTAATATAACTTGTAATGTTGAATCATCCATTTTTCTGAACTTAACAATTTTTGTAAAATATTGCCCATAGTGATTTTAGTCTCGCTATTTCTTCTTAGCAAAGGCGATTTCCAAGAAACCCAATCAGCCAGTATTGCAGAAGTGGAATTCGAGCAGGTACCTATGTTCTTATTCAAGGAAAAACAACTGCAATTGGATTATCTAAAGAAATTTGTATTTTTATATTTTTCTCAAGATGTATTTTTATCGCCATCAGATTGCTGTAACTGCAGGACTGCTGTCGCTGCTTTTAACGCAGCAAAATCTCCTTGCTCTTGTCCAGACACCATTGTAATAGCTTCTGTTTGTTTGCAGTTTCTAGACAGATGCACAGAGGCTATGAACTTGCCATTTGCTGCCAGGCGATTATTCACTGACACTGGGAAAGAGCTGACCTCTGTAAAGGGTCTGGAGCGAGACCAGTTGGTCTACGTATCGAGTGGCGATGCTTGGATTAATCCGACTTTTACCCACTCAGAACAACAGCGAAGGTCATTGCTAGCCAACCTAGCGTCAGATGTTAATAGAATGAGAAACTACATCACTTTGAGAGAACAGACAGGTATGTCTTTAAGTTAAGCAGGAAGTTAACGCGTTAAGTTTGCCACTAATATGTTGACCAGGTTTTATAAGAAAAGTAATGATAATGCAGCGATTACTTTTCTTAAGTGACTGAGCGTGGCAAATTGTCAGAACCAGGTTATTACAAGGAATATTTCAATAAAAAAGAATCAAGCTTTTTAAAAGATTTTATCGAAAGCACATCAAAAGCTATAGAAGCTAGAAAAGATAGAGAAGCTAGAGAAGTTTTGATGGTGCCCTGTCACTTTTGAAAGGTATGTGAGATGATAATAATAATAATAATAATGATAATAATAATGATGATAATAATAATAATCGAATGTTTTAACAGGATAACCTTGCAGTATTAGATATACTGTTTTCATTAGGGACATGATTATAAAGCATGTATTTGATAGTAAAATATCTAATAAACACAAAATTCCATCAAAAATTCTCCATTAATATTTTTGAATTGCTTTAATTCTAGAATCTATCATGAAATTTCTTGATTGATCTTTATTTGGAACTGCGCTGAAAGTATGTAAGATCTTTTCCTCAAAGTTGCTCCAGAACTCTTGGAAATGCGGTTTGAACAAAGTCGAACGTTTAAGAATTTTTTGTTTAAAGCGGCATATTTTAAAACCTTTGGCGCGTTGGCAATGACTCGTTGGCAATGACTAGTTGGCAATGACTCGTTGGCAATGACTCGTTGGCAATGACTTATTAACTCTTTTTTGCTCGCATTTGCAGCCGGCTATTAGCAGAGTTTGCATTTTTTTTAGATTTCTTACTGCAAGTGAATGGACCTCTGCAAAGCGGTTCCTCTGTAGTCGTTTCCAAGAAATCAAATGAAGATTTGCAGGTGGCGGAAGAAGACTCACCCGTTTCCCCGGAAGAAATCTTGGAGGAAAACCAGTAAAGATCGTTTTTTGCCGTTCTATCTGCATGCCATTCAGAATTATTTAATGCATTTCTAAGATCGTAAAAATCACTTCACCTAAATTAACGTTCTTCAGTAATATAACAGAGCCAATTTTTATGAAATTCTCAAACTTCATTCAAAAAAAGTTTGCTTTGAGTTTTCTGTCGAATTCATCAAGTATCAAGCAAAAAAATATTTTTCGGATAATTTTGCATTTCTCTTAACAATTGAAATCAAAATCTATTTTAGAATCAGGGATTTACAAAGCTTAGCTCTGACGTCACACCAAATAGCACACATAAAATCTGAAGAGCGTTTGCAGAATATCCGCGAAAGACTGCAAATGGGAGCAGCTGGAATGGCCTCCGATGATAGCACTGGCGATGCAACGTCAGCTGAGTTCACTTTCTCTAACCCATCACTTGGACGGAAATTCAGGTTAGGATTGTTCCTTCAAACAGCATCTTCGAATTACTATCCCAATTTTACAACTTCAGCAAACGCGGGCAGTCCTTGTTTTTAGCTATTAACGGAGAAAATTGTACAAATTATCTTGACATGGCTTTGTAAAAAGCAAACATTTTTAAACATACTAAAGCTATTCGGCTGACACTCTTCAAAGTATAAAACGTCAAGAGCATAGACAAAACTTCAAAGCGAGGAAATATATATACTCAGTTGTGGATCGAAATAGTCCAATAAAATCAGAATCGATCTGAGAGACCTCTCGCCAAGTCGCACGAAAACACCCAAAGTAGTACCGAAATACATTTAAATTCATTTATTTAAATTTTTTTTATTCATTAACACAGATCCCCTTTAGACACAGTATCTGTAAAAACAACATCCTTGTGGACATGTTGTAGAGAGCAAGATTCAAAATGCATCGTCACATTTTTTTAGCAGTTCTTTTTAAGGTGGATTCTTCTGTTTTGCAGTCGATCTATGGAGCCAGTGAGCAAGCCATTTCAAAATGCATATTACGAATGGGTATACCAAGATGGTTTTATTCAGCTCAAGGCAAATAAGAAACTCGTTATTGGAGTGAATCAGAGTGACAAGGTATCGTAGTATAAGCTTTCTTTAGCCAAATTCTTTGACTTCGTCATCTGAGTACTTGTATGTTTCAAGTCAGAAAACTCTCAGCATATGTTTGAAGACAAAGATTGCATGCTGAGTTGAACTTTCTCTTACAGTCGAAATATGGTCAAGAAATTGTCATTTGCAACAAAAAAGTAGAAGACGCTTCACAAAGATGGATGATGTCTGATCTTGGGTTTGTTTTTATTTACTTGTTATTCCATATAAATCATACTTGTTACAGAAAAATGATACAAAATATCTGTGTTGAAGTACGAACAAAATTTGGAGGCATGTAATATCAATCCAAAGTAAATGCATGCACACTTCTTGCTATTGATGTGTTGAAAGCGTAGGAGATGAGATAGTCTCTTTGAGTTTGCACATGCTTCACCGATGACCCTGCGAAGCATATCAGATTTCTTTAACTCTTTCTATTAATCTCTCAAGCCAAAAATCGGCATCTGCATTTCACTTGTCTGTTTTTAAAAATAAAGCTCTCCTATTTTTGCACAAGTTTTCGTATTTATGCCTCGGCCGTACAATACCTCGTCACTTGACAAAGTATTGTCATCCGAATTAGCTGACCACATTTTCTACATTTGGAAGTTAATGCTTTATAAATCATTTCTTCTCGACAGGTTCTTCCATCTCAAAAGCAACGCTAACCTCGTCTTGACTGTCTCTACCCCTCCCTTGCAAACCGACCCTTTCTCGGAATCACACATTTCATCCGGGTATGACGGCTCTCCTGTAATTCTTGCAAGGCGCCTTGACTGCTTCAATGGCAATTCCCATCAGATGTTCAAACTGGACGAAATGTCTGGCCTCATATTTGCATTTGCCACGGACTTGACAAACACAGGTGAATGTAGAATCAATTTGAATCGGGCTTTTTAGTAATCCCGACACACCTTGATGCTCGCCATAGCACGCATAAGCGTATTCATAACGAGCGCAGAATGAAGGCTCATTTGGTCCGGTGTCCTTACTGAGCATGACTCTTGGAATGATGACTGTTTAGCCCTTCCTTTATTCATTATTATCTTAACTTATTCTATAATAAATCGGACCAGTCAACGACTTGCTACTTACCCCTAAATCCTTTAATGATCGCCCAACACTACTTCTCCTCTCGATGTCAATATGAATCTCCAATTCTTCGTCATCAATCATTCTCCGCACCATTCACTTCATAAGCAGAAAATTGATTCATATTTGAGGATAGGGGTGAGAATCTAAGGGGCGGATAATTAAGCTGTTAAGCTTAATTAACCTAATTAAGCTTATTTGCATTATCTCTGCTGCTAAACATCTTATTATTTCTCCACAGAGGTCACTGCTGCAATCAAAGCCTCCGCATGCACTTATTCTGTTCTTGGTGCACAAAGTCTCTATCAACCGGTATGCCCCGTATTCTTGCAATTCATCTCATGTTTTCCAATCTATAAAAATTAACTTTACTGGCCACTCATTACTGGCCACTATTGTCCATTTTCAATACATTTTCAGTAAGAATATTTGATTGATTTGATTTGATTTGAAACATTTAAGGAGGTTGCCCTTTAACATTGCTGATTCTCAAGAAGCCCTCCACTTATAATGTTACAAAGGTATATCAAACTAGTACAAAGAGTAAAATATTACCTAATACAAATTTACAAAATTGAGAAAATTGATTTAAAGAGTAAAATATTACATAATAAAAGCTAACAAAATTCGATTAAAAGAATGAAACATTACCTAAAACATCTATTTATAAGATCTAAGACCATAAGTTGTTATTGTTTGCTTACGCTCGGTTGGGAACGTTTATAAGAAAAGCATTGTTGACCATCAAATGGTCTCTTCTGGGCAGGCGTAGGTCAGTGGCAGTATTGCAGAGGCTGTGCGAAGCAAACCGGGATATTCTTGTAAATGAATTACCAATATTGTGTGGAGCTCAGCCCTGTAGAGATTTGAACACCATCAGTATTGACTCATGAACTATGAGTTCCTCAATTGTCTTCCAGCCTAGCCTACGCGCTAATGGTTTCTCCCGGACATCAAACTCTTATTTTTTAGGATTCATGCTGCTCGGTTGCCATTTATATGGGGGATATATTCCCATGTTCTGTAGATAAAATTAACTTGCTCCTCCGAGCTTTTTTGTTATGGTTTTTTTGTTATGTTATGGTTGGAAAAATACGAAGAAAAGTAGATTGACTTTTAAAAAAGCTGAGTCGTTATCTATGGTTGTTTATCCTGAAATTTTGAATTATTGCAAGCCTCGTTTGTGAGTTATTGCCATAGTTTTGGTTAAAGCAAATGCAGTTTAAGCAAGTTGATTGAGTCTGATTTTATCACGGTGTATCTGCGAAAAATACTGTTACCAATTATGTAATATGTTACTGTATATTAATGCTTTCTTAGGGTTATATCGTTTTGGAAGGAACTAGACCTGGTGCAGGACCGGTTCGTGTTTGCGAGAGTTGTGCAAAAGCAATACGAGGAAAGCTGAAACTAGAAAAGATCGCGACAGTCACGCACTTCACCTGCGCGTTTGGATCACGTGAGTTTTTCCAATTGAAGTCATATTTTGTTTTAAAAATTATTTGTTTTAAAATTGCCACAAAAGAAACTATTCAAATAGAAAAGTCTCTCTAGAAACTATTCTGATGTAATTATTTCCTTCTAGCGGGAAAATCTGGTCTTTCAACAAATGGTAGCTTCAAATGTTTGTCTAGCAAGGTAACAAAACATGAACGCTTTTTTCTGTCTTTTTTATAAATATTTATCTTATTTAAGATAATCAAAATTTGTTATTGTTATGCATCTAATGAAGACGAAATATTATCATGTTACCTTTCAATATTATCTTTAAACTTGATTGTCTCAATTTTGTCTCGTTTTCTTTGCATTCGCTTATCATCTTTTCGCATTGTTAAAAATGGAAGTAGTTAGTCTTTTATTCAAAAAATTCATCTCATAAATTCGTATACAGGTTTTAAACAACTGGCAAACATGTTGTCCTAATAGTCTTATCTATTGTTGATGCCAGGGACATTTCAGATTAATGAAACTTTGCATTTTAAGTAAAAGGCTACCAAATTTATGCTGGCTTATTTGACCTGTTCCAAACTGGGTCTCGCTGCCAACACATGTAGCCACAGGACTGGCAAAACGTATTTGAAAATGAAAGGTCCAAAATGTTAAAGTTGTGAAAAGGTTTAGTAAAGGCTGCCACTAGCTGGCGGCAAGACCTGTTTTAAAAACATGGTATTCTTAGGATGCCAGAAAGTGCATATGACGTAGATTTGACCGAAGGAAATTCCGAGGCAATATTTTCAACCTTTCTTTTAACACAATGTCCAATTGTTGCATCGATTGCATATATCTTTGTGTTGACAAAAAGCAGGAAAGGTCTTGCAAAGTTTAAGAATAAACTTTTTATGAAGCCAGAGCTGCTTTTGCTAGTCCAGTTTAGTTAAATTCATCCTTGTCAGTTAGTGTCATCTGTACTAGACAAATACTAAATAGATCACACAATTCGTTGAATTAATATACACAAAATACTAGACAGTTTAAGAATTTAAACGCTTACTCGTTTTGCAGTAAATGAACTGTCTTATACAATCCTTGAAATTGCTTTATGTTAGTCTTAATTAGTGTATATTCACTATTGTAAAGACTACAATACAATACAATACAATACAATACAATACAATACAATACAATACAATACAATACAATACAATACAATACAATACAATACAATACAATACAATACAATACAATACACAATGACTATAAAGTAAAACATCTAGTGCTGTGAAGTAAACTTGAAAAGCTTCTTAGAATCACGTACATATCTAACAAACGAGCAGTTGCGTGATGTTCACACTAAGCGTGCAATGTTCTATACAGTTTATGACAAACCGGAAAACAGTATTTTTCATTATTTACAGTATTTTTCATTATTTATTTTTCCGAATGCTATCATTAGAATTTGTGTTTGGTAAGAATGTTGTTATTTCAATGCAAAACTATAGGCTCTGAGATGAAGAATAATCCCCTCCATGTATAGATATTTTCAAGGAATTGTCTAAAAACGATTACATTTTCTTTCTTAGCTTAAGGGTCTTATTCGCTAACCCAAAAATTCCTTCACTTCTTGAATTCAGGTTGACCTGTCCCAGAAAGAAGCGGCATCGTCTCTGTTTGTGTGGGAAAAGCAACTGAAAAGACTTCAGCAAGAATCCAGTGTTCGCATAATTGCTTACGAACTGAATTTGGCTCAAACTACTCCTTCTGTTCGCATATGTGCTCATAGAAATGGAGACACTCACTATACTGAAGGTGTATTGGTTATTGCCAATAGCATCAATCAGGTATTACTCTTGGTGCTCTTTTGAAATCAGGATCATCATTAATCATTATCATCAATCATTTTCATCAATCATTGTCATCAATCATTGTCATCAATCATTGTCATCAATCATTGTCATCAATCACTGTCATCAATCATTGTCATCAATCATTGTCATCAACCATTGTCATCAATCATTGTCATCAATCACTGTCATCAATCATTGTCATCAATCATTGTCATCAACCATTGTCATCAATCATTGTCATCAATCACTGTCATCAATCATTGTCATCAATCATTGTCATCAACCATTGTCATCAATCATTGTCATCAATCATTGTCATCAATCATTGTCATCAATCATTGTCATCAACCATTGTCATCAATCATTGTCATCAATCATTGTCATCAATCATTGTCATCAACCATTGTCATCAATCACTGTCATCAATCATTGTCATCAATCATTGTCATCAATCATTATCATCAATCATGGTCATAAATCATTATTATCATTCGTTATCATCAACCATTTTCGACGATCATAAGTATTGTCAATTATATTTATTGTCGATCATTTTTAATCAATTGTAATCACCATCAATCATGAATCATCAGGTTAGTGCGATATGTATACCCAATGCTCACGGGAGTCATTATCATTCGTGTTTTAATAAGATGAATTACAATACGTTTTTGTCAATCAGTTTTTAGATATATGCACGTACAAGCTTGGACTAACACAGGCGGCTCGTAAATTGTACACCTCGGATGGCCAGCTGATCACCGACATGAACCAGTTGCTGCAGCCGTATTACCCAGAGCTCTGCTTGCCGTTAAGCAGGAGCTATGGTGAGAAAAAGGTGCTGATCTCTTCAGGGTTGTTTGTTGTCTTAGTTAGGGGAATCGTATCATTACGTACATTTGATATCACAAAGGCTACTTAGTTCATTAGCTTTTAAACTATTATTTTTCATGTGAAACGTTCTTCATTGTTTCACGTTTCTTTTAGCTTACTTTATGTTTAACAACCAATTTTTTGGTATCATTAGAGCCAGGAAACTAGTGAAGAAAAGCGACCAGAGTTACCTGAAAAAGATCTCTCAACAAACCAGAAACAAACCTCGGACTCGGGCAGCGTTGCCAGCGATGGGACGTTCACGTTGCCAAGCAGGGAGGACACTCCCTCGGGACATTCGCTGGCATCCAGAAGACAGGTGTCATTTGCAGAAATGAAAGCAGAAACGAAACTATCAAGACAAGAGGATTGTCTAAAAAAGGACAGAATGGATGTCAGGATCCCTATCGATGTCTGGGTTTCATGTGGCGAGCCATTTACCCCTTTTAAAGGTAAATTTGACATATTTACCTGTGGGCTACTACCCGAACTTGTGGTTCGAGATAAGCAATAACCTAGTATGATTGTTTTTAGATTCGGAGATGCGCGAGATTCGAATCCAGCAAGAAAGAGGAGAGCGATCTCTGGTTGCTGATTACCTTGAACAGGAAAAACATTTGCTTAGACAACTTCAAGGTTAGTATTTGGCATTTTTAAGGCTCGGCCTTTTCATTTTTGTTTTGTTAAATTTCTCACAAGGCGGGAAATCTGATGATATGCCAACTGTGTGACATATACAGCCTCATACATATACACATATTTTGTTAGACTGTTTATAGAAATCATCATTGCTGGGTACTCGATGACTCATTCCATTAGTGGTTTGTATACATCTGCTTGCAGACAAGGCCTGAAATACTAAATGGATACACGGTTCGCTGGCGCAGTCGTCGTAATTGACTAATCATAGGAAAGTCATTTTTGCTTTGCTCACCTTTTGAGTCCTGAAAGGATGCTGGGATACTGCTCTTTCTGATAGTTATCAAGTTGTCCCTGATAAATGGGAACAATTGGTTTTTCTTCAAAGGTGATGGAAAATGGAGAAAGGGATCGGGGACACGTTCCCGACTCTTGCGATTATATTGGAACCAGAATTTTTAGGCTCAAGTTATATCTATTCGGTTTTCTAATCATAAAAGATTGTTCATTTTTTCTTGCTGCTTTGACCGTAATGCTCCATTGTCAACACTTCGATATGATTGCAACACTTGCAGATTTTTCGTCGGCATAACTTAACCAAACAATTTTTCAAAATAGGGCGTCGGTATGCAGGAAGATTGGCAGCCCAAGGAAGTGACAGCACGGTAAAGCCAGTTCTTAGCAAATCATTGGACTACCCAAGTAAGAAGGAAGAACTTCTTGAAAAGTCCATCGAAGAGCTGCAGGTTTGTTAAGACGTTTGTTCCACCTCTAACTGCAAGGTTTCTTTTTTATTGGGAAAAATCCAGTAAAAGACGATGCTCATTTCCACGGAAACATGTTGTGCGCGCGACAAAATTACTGAAGCTTTAGCTGCATAGATACGACTGTCCACCCAAGTTTTTGCAAAAGGCTGCGATAAATTCACCGGTATTTTTGGAGAATTTGAATTATGGATTGTAAGTCCTAAATTTGCAATGCGCCTTAAAATGCCATTCATTGCATATCAGTCAACATCAACCAAATTATAGGCCAATTCGGTACTCCCTTTCTTGTCTAGGGTATTTGAAAAAATGGTCTTTGAAAAAATTGAGAAAAAATTCCCTTAATCAGTTATATAGAGGTATCGTGGAGCTCCATTTCCGATATTGTTGCTCTGTTTGGGGTGACTGTGGGACACTCGCTTGGTTATGCTACAAAAGTCGCAAAATCGTGCTGCGAGGATAGTTAGCAACAGTAGCTATGACGCATCAGTAGTTTACTTGATAAAAGAACTTAAAAGGCCAACAGTCCATGACATGATCAAATAAGAGACTGCCACCATTGTTTTCAAATCAATAAATGGTCTTGCGCCAACACATCTCTCTTCTCTTTTTACGAGAAACACAACTAGGGAGATTGTAAGTTTGAGAAATTCTCAGACTGATTTGCTTCTTCCAAGAATAAAAACGAGCAGTGGCCAAAAAGCATTTTTATTCCGTTAATCAAAAGTCTGGAATGAGCTAGAATAGGGGGTCAAGCTATAATAATAATAATATATATAATAATAATAAATAATTTGTTTAAAGTTGGCGTACTAAATGAACGGCTGATAGCTATAAAGAAGCTAATTAAGGCCAACTATCTATAAAGAGTTAATATGAAATAAAAATATATGATACAATATTAAAAAGGTTTATGCAACGACTGATATGGTGTATGGCTAAAATGCTTATGCAGCGTTACAATATTAAAAATGTTTATGGTATAATGTTCTAAATAAAACCTAACCCAGCAATAAATTTTTTACACAATCTACAGTCGCATTCTATAGGGTGTGCTCTTAATTCTTTTTTAAATGTTGCCAATGATTGGGACTCTCTTATACTGTGAGGTAGTGTTTGCCACAGTTTTTGACCTAAATATCTCATAGTTTCTATACCATAAGAAGTTGTCCTGGCTTTTGGAATGCAAAGATTATTTTTAGTTCGCAAATCATAATGTACATTTCTTGTTTCAAAAATCTCACTCATGAAACTAGGGTTCAGGTTATGTTTGGTTTTGTATATTTCTATCATCAAGTACTGTAGATTGCGTTGGTGAATTGATACTGCATTATCCAAAGTCAGCAATGCTTCGTAGTCAGCATGACTGTCTTTATAAACAATTCTGAGTGCTCTTTCGTGGATTTTATTTACTTTAGCATTCAGACATCTGTCATGGAACATCCAAATTAGGGGGCAGTAGCTAAACTGAGCTTTTATGAAGCTGTTCATTAGGAGACGCAGTTTATCAGAACCCATAAATGGTGAAACTCTAGCAAGAGCATGCAGTTTTTGGCTGGCTCTTTTGCATAAATTTGAGACGTGACTTTTGAAATTAAGATTTTTATCTATTATCACCCCTAGCAGTTTTTCTTCAGAGCTTTCTTCAACAATGGCCTCACCGATTTTGATCTTAAAGTCATCTTGATTTGTTCCAAAAGTAAGAAGATGACATTTCCCTGCATTCAATTTCATAAAGTTTTCTGGAAACCATTTTGATAAAATAAGAGCATCAGTTTCTAGTCGTTCTAAAACTTTATCTAATTGACAGTCAGCTGCGAAAATCGTAGTATCATCAGCAAAGTTACATACTGCAGTATCAGTTACCATTAAGAATAAATCATTAATATATAAATTAAATAGAAGAGGCCCAAGGACTGATCCTTGTGGTACACCTGCAAAGGTTTCTCGCCAAGTGCTGAATGAACCATTTAATTTTACCCTTTGTCTTCTACTGGACAGGTAATTATAAATCAATAATTGAGCATCTTTACAAAAACCATAGGCATTTAATTTGCAATTAATAGCTCATGGTCTATGGAATCAAACGCTTTTGAGAGATCCATTAGCAAGGAACCAACCACCCTTTTTTTATCTAGGGAATTCTTGCAAATATCCATTAATCTCAACAGCGCATGCTGTGTGTTGAAACCTTTCCGAAAACCACATAAGTAGGGAGCTAGGAACGTATCCGCGAAGTCAACCATCTGAGCATATAGAAGCCGTTCAAAGACCTTTGATAATGCGGATAGAACTGTGATAGCTAGCCCCCTCTCTGTCTACTTTTAAAACGTAGATTTGGCAATAAATAATCTATTTCTTTCAATTTTTGTATATTTTATGCTAATTTTAATATTTTAATATTAATAATTTTGATATCTTCTTTATTTTTTATTTTAGTAAAGTTTTATTGTAATTTGATTTTGCCAAGCCCCCCTGAAAAACAGCTATTCAAGGTTGATGGGGCTACCGTATTTAAAGAATTTAAAATGGCATGAAAATGAAACAAAATGAGTTAATTTAGTGTAGAACATGTGGTTCATCTTTACTTTATTTTCATCGGCTGTATATTGGAATATCTAGGTGCACCTTTCCGAACTGAAGACTTTTCAAGAACGCGAGCAGTTGGAAGAATTGTGCAAGCAAAGGACTCAGAGCTCGAAAATCTACACGCGGATGCAGGATCGGAAACTGTACGATTTGCCGCGCGGCATAACAATCCTTGCCTATCCAAATGGCGAGAGTGTGGCGCGTGCGGTTCCCGTAGTTGCAACAACGTTTCTTGAGGTATGTTTTCTAGATTAACGAGGACCTTCCATGCGAATTTTTCACAACTAGCAGTTAACTATTGGTCAACCTTTATGCTTCGGCATTAAGCTTACTTTCTTAACTGTTTAATCTACGTTCTATTCGTAATTTAACCGCTAAAAAAACATCATCAGAGCACTATGTGAGGATGACTCCTCCCCACAATCATTGTCATAAAATCTGAAATGACATTTAGAGATTTTATCATGTAACACAATACATGCAACCTAACACATGCAACGAAATTTGAATGTTTTTGATAGAGAAAGAGCAATTTAAGTATTCTTATCAGGATATTTTGTTCAAGTTATCAAGGTTTTCGTTTACTCGTCAAGATTTGTTACCCGCTATCCAAGTTTTGTTTCTCGCTATCCAAGTTTTGTTACCAAAGTTTTGTTACCCGCTATCCAAGTTTTGTTACCCGCTATCCAAGTTTTGTTACCAAAGTTTTGTTACCCGCTTTCCAAGTTTTGTTAATCCTTATGCGACTGCTGAAGAGACAATTTGTTTGCTTCTAGTTTCTGGACAGAGCTACTTCAAGACTTGATCTAAACAGTGTTGCCCGTAGAGCTTTTACAAAAGAGGGGAACGAGGTAATGGACGCTTCATTTGTAAGGGAACACGATAACCCAAGAACCTTTTTTAATTAATTTGATAAAAATGCAAAAGTAGTTTTATCTAAATCGATTGTAGGTGATAAAGCAGCAGATGCAGAATTTGCATGAAATTATCAAAGTAAGTCAAGCTTGCCTTGATGAAAAGATCCATTATCCTTTGCTACACGTAAAAGCTTCCCTTAGATTGAAAATGAAATGTGCATGTTTAATTTTAACAGTGCATTAAAAATAAAAAAGATTTTTTACAGCCAATTTTAGATGATTTCCAATAATTAATCTAAAATTTTGAGTGAGTAAGTTTCCTGCTTGAAAAATCCAACTTACGAGAGGATCTCATGATTTAACTTCATTGAAAGTAACCATTTGTTGATAAAGTTGCTATGAAGGAATCTGTAATTAGCGTGTCTCTAAAAAAATCACAAAATGTTCTGCTGCACGGAAACGACTCTAAAGTTCTTGACATGTTAATGTGTTTCTCTCTCAAAGACTGCATGTCAAAGCCTGCATGTCAAAGCCTGCATGGTTTTGTACCTGATTCATTCTTTCTACATTCTTACGATCAAAACATTCATGGCAGTTTGAGTTGTCTGAAACAGTCATTCTTTCTACATGGATCTTACGCTCGTTCATAGATCACCGACTTGAATAATGTTGAAAAGAACCAGCTGATTTGCGTCACTTGCGGAGAAAAGTTTGTCCCAACTACAGGTACAATTACTGTTTTCATATTCCATTGCTAGGATTTGAAATATACCCTGATCTATTTCTTCAGAGAGCAACTTAGAGTTATGAGTCGTGATTGGCCCTTTCAGCAACTCTTGCATTTCACTGCGTTTCTATCTGACCAACTGTCTACCTAAGGTGAAAAACCAAACAATTGTTTTCATTAAACAGCTTCAATCTCAGGTTATCTTTTAATTAAAACCCAGTATGAAGATCCATATAACAATTAATGTATGTTTATACGTTTGCACGCAGAACGGAGATACAAGATAGAAATGCGTGCTTCTTGGTCACGTGCAAACAGGGGAAGCGATGTAAGCCAAAATGCCGTGAGTACTGACCTGCTTAATAAATTTCTGCTTAACCATAGTAGAGTTTTGATTTTTAGCAGTTGGTTTTCCGTAATACGTTGCGAAGTACAAATACTATTTTATTGCGAAGTACAATAAGCTACGTGTAGTATTTTCCATCTTTCAAACCTGCAAGGATTTTCCGTCTTTCATGACCAGATTCTGTGCCCTGCAAGGCCCTGCATTCACGCACGGTTATGTTACATTCAGTTTAATTTCATCTGTCGCAAGAAACATTGAAATCTTACTCTTCTGATGTTATCTTTTGATTGATTTCTCTGCTTTCGACACAGTAAACATGATTATTTAGGGTATCAACTTTCTTATCTACTCCTTTTGATTTTTTCAATCGAATTAGTTGTACAAGATTATTTTGGCTGAATGGCTTTTGTGTATGATTAAATCTAGACTGAAGAGACGACTACAGGCAATTTTCTTTTTTCAGAATTCTATTGTAACTTCGGATACTATGCTCGCCCTACCTGCACCTCCGCCCCCTGCCCCTAATAGTGCCTCCAGAACTAAATCAGCAAAACACGAGGAGACATTACATGTTTTTGAAAGTGATAAAGCTGGCTCGCAGAATACATCAAGGCCGGTCCGTCCTAAGTCAAGTCGCCCGAAATCCGCAAATCGCTCATCAGTCAACTTGGACAATGCTGATACGGCCTCACGTAGCAAAACGACGCATGAGATTACACGTTCACCATTCAAATCTGCCTGTCCAGGGCGAGTTACTTCTGCTCGTCCGAAATCTGCAATGAAAAAGCCCTCGATTCATCCTTCGCAAAACACCAGAGTCAAATCATAAATTTATTGTCTTTAAACATAATTAGCATTTATCTGTTTTTGCTTCTGTTTGACAAAGAAACAAAAGAATGCTACATTCACCCTGATGGTTAGGTGAAGCAATTAACTCTCTTTTTAAGAAAGGCCCTTTTTAGATTTGGTTTTGGTAAATATTTTGGCTGCTACAACCTTCTTTGTTGTCAATTTAAAACCTTGCCAGAAACGATGACAACTCTTACTATATTGATATTGAAATATTTTATATCTATTGAAAACTGAAAAAAGCGAACAGAGTATTTTGATATCCATTTCAAGGTATATTTATTTCCAGTTTTTCGGCAAAAATTTGTTGATTGTTCTCTATAATTGTGATATTGATGTATTGTACCTACAAGATCAAATATGATGTAAATAATTTATCTAGAATTAAATTAAACTATTATTAAAGTTTCACCAAAAGTAATGTTTACGATTTCTAATCGATTCATTTGTAAATTTGATATATATATAGCCACGCTTGAAGCTAACTAAGATCTTATTCTTTGATTTATGAAGTCATCAAGATATTTTCTGTAAAATTGAAGAAAGTAACATCGTGATTCAAAGCGCTAGGAAAATCGAAGCATTACTCGTTTTCTATTTACACGTAAGTATTATCAAAATAATTCAATGAAGTCATTGGCTATGCTGTTTCATCAATGGATTCTGTGTCTCGTAACCTCCTCTCATTCTATTTCTACACCATACACATTTTCTTTCCACTTTCTCAGCCCGCCATTGCCCCACCCCAATTTCTTTACTCTTCGTTTTCTTTACATTGGCAAGCACTCAGTCAATTAGCAACCGTTTCATGTGTACTCCTTTTTTAAAAATATATCTTGATTACAAAATACATCTTTTCTGCAGGTGCATCTTTTGTCAAGGTCTTTGTCTTCAGTTCTCATTCTATGTTCAGTGTTATGACAGTTAAAAAGACACCGATTGGTAATGTCAGGTACCCTTAATTGAACAACTCTTAAGCGTTGCATAGCTGTTATTTTCAAGAACATTTCAGCAACGCAACTCTAGCTTTCTAGCTCAAGGATTCCATGCACCTACACAACATATCTTTTTCTCGTTATTCTCTTATTTGTATTTGCTCTAAACATCGTATTTATTAAAAAACCTTTTTCTTGCCAGACAGTCTTATATATACTCTTGTCTGTATTGCGTAAAGAGTTTTAAATTTGGTAGTGTGTTCATTCCGAAGGGGACAATTCATTGTCTATCTGCTGTTGATAATCCTTAGAGCAAATAAAATTTGTCGAAAATCGTCGCTTGGCCTCCAACACATGTGATCGCGCAAACAAAATGTCTGCAAAACCTTATTTCTAGCTAATTCTCTTGTTTGATTAACCGTTACTGCGTCAAGCTTACAGCGACAACCGCTTATTACAAACGGCAGCAGGAATTTGGAAAATTGTTAGGGCCACCTTCTTTTGTTTTGTGATAAGAAACCTCGATTTTTCAAGTTTTGCGAAGTTGGTGACGTATTTCTTCGTCACTATCTCTAAAATGTGCTGCTTTTTTGAATATATCAATATGAGATTCTAACATACTGCAAACGCTTTTCTCATGATGTTTGCTATTTACAGCCATTTTTGCTGCTTTGCTAGTTGTCGATTTGCCCATCCTGAAACCTTTCCCTTAAAAAGAACGCCTAACGAACTTTTGTTGATCATAGTTGAATTTCCTACTTATGCCAAGCTCTTTGTTTCCCTTGCCTATAGATCAATAGTAACTAGATCAAGGCTAAGCATGATTCTCGTGCTTGTTTTGGCGATAAAGTTTTAGTTTTAGACCTTTCGTCTTTGAAAACGGTCGTAGCTCATCCTTCACTTTTGAGCGAAAGCATGTCGAGTTAAGCCTCGGCAAAACGGCTAGACATTTTCGCTGAACATGCACTGGACAAATGTCTAGCGTAAATGTTGCGTTCTTTTGCCACCTTGTCCAGTCCTGTTCAGCTATGTTGAGCGTTGTTCAGTAGATTTTGAAGGCCGTCAAAAATGTTCAGTGGACAGGATTAAATTTCTTTTGTTCACAGATGTTGTAGATAAAATGTCCAGTCGTTTTGCCACTCTAGTGAACATTGTTCAGTTGGCGCACGTGCAATTGATGTAATGGATTGAATTTGGCGCGAATTTCTTTACCATATTAAAATTGAACATTAATATTCAATTTGACGGAGAGCAGGAACAAGCATTTCATTAATAACGACGAGTCTTCTGAAGGGGTTAGCTTTAGTTCTGATGAGATAAGCGATGACAGAGAGCACGAGTACGGTGATTGTGATGAACATGGCAGGCCTAACTCTTCTTCACACGCAGTTTTCCCGCGTGCACTCTTCCACAGTGCAAAATTTCACTGGACAATGTTTAGTCGTTTTGCCACCACCAAAAGTTTCTGAATGTTCACACAATGAACAAAGTGAACAATATGTCCAGTCGTTTTACTGGGGCTTTACTCTTTTCCAACAAAAACATGGAAAATTAACGACTCGCTATAAGAGCCCAAAGAAAAACGATATATCACGAAATTTAGGAGAAATTCCTGATATGCTTTGAACAGTTTAACACCCCTTGCACTGTCAGGAAATGTCCTTTGAAAACAGGGAATCCTAGTTTTTTCCAATTAGAAACGCCCATGACTAACATTTGGTTACAAAAAGGCAGTTCTGAAATCATAGAACCACTTCACGAAAAGTATTTGGCCAAAAATATATTTACCCCTTCCCCAAAATTGATTGTCATGGCTTGATGGCTTGAAGTCAAATGCATTTTTCAAAGCCAAAACCCAGACTGAAAACTGAAGAATTGTATCTGATAATCACCTTACCCCGCGAAGGAATTCTCTACTGTTTTTATCTCCTTCAGCTATTGTCATGAATTGGCATCTAATTTCGTTTGCAATTGTTGTATTTATTTGTTATTAGCTGATTTAGTGGTTGAAATAATTTCTTGCAATGATAAATGCATAGATTTAATAGAAGACTCGTCTTGAAAGAAAGCAGCCGTTAGAGCACAGGTGTAAGGATTTTAAATTCAAGATAAACATTACTTCTTAGAGCTCGATTTCAAATTTCCTGACAACAAAAAGTGTGTTGACAGAGGTAGTATGAATAAGTGTGTATTCGTGGTTGCTATTATTCCCGTGGATGTCAAAGAAGAGAGCAGGTTTTACTATTGTTCGGGGAAAAGAAGATAAAGAATGAGATCAATGCATTTTATGAAATCGGTGAGTGATGCTAGAATGAGAAATTTTATGATTTAGGTATGAGCAGCTAACTCAACAAGTAGTGTTGAATTTAATGGAAACTGTTTATCTTATCTGGTGCAAAAGATTAAAAGCAGTTGCCCAAAGCTGAGTTAAAATTCCATTCGCTTGCTTTACTGTGTGTTCAGAAAATCATGGCACATCACGCTACAGCTATGTAATGTAAACAGAGCAATGGAGTAATAAAGCTCATTAAAAATTGTTTACAATGTCACTTTGTTCACTTGTTTTCTTCTTAGAATCTTGGTAATTTGAGTTGCAAACGAAAGGGCGAAAGTAAGTTGATGTAATGACTGGAAAAATCCAAAGCATTGGTTATACAGGCGTGATGGCGACAAGGTGAGAAACACACGTTTTGATTATCTTTAGTCTCTTTGTGTTCTATTTCCTGTTCAAGATTAGAATGATTTATGAACAGCTATTTGCAAAAAAAGAACATGTTCACTTTGTTGTTCGTGCAAAAGGCCAGACATTATAATTCGCAAAGTATAATTCGCCACTTAACGCTAAACAAATCTTGGTCTACAACGTGTTTCTTTGCAACAATTCAACGGTTTCTGCAAAAGTTAGAAATCAGCGTTTGGCTTCGATTGGATTACCAGCACTCAACTTTAATTGCATCTGTGTAAATGAAATATGGACATGGATTAAAAAAGCGATGAAATACAAGTAAGTCAACAACATTGGCCTAGCTACGTTGGTTTTTTGGATATGAAAGATTCACTTGCGATTTCGTCGTGGTCTTTATCGAGGTTACAGTTTCTAGGCACTAAGGTTGCTGCTGTTGGCTTGGTGGTTGATGCTGTTGTTGTTGTTGTTTTTGTTGTTGTAATATTATATTGTGTTTGAATTCTGCCAAGAGCGATATTGGTGGAAGGGCTTGTTCAAAACTCATGTGGTCTGTGACACGAAAAGAAGGTAAATCAACTACTTAAGTTCAAAAGTAAAACTGACAATAATCTTATTGTCGGTTCACGTGTTAATAAATTGCATTTTCAAAACACCGTTTCAATAATGAAAGCAACGGTGCTCTGACTAATCAAATATGAAAAATTTGGGTCGCATTTGCGTTTAACACGCTCAATGTAGTAAACATTTTGCCTTGCAAACCGCTTTTTTGCGAGACTTGGTAGTTCACCTTGGACTACATGTGGCTAAGTTAAAGTGGTATTAAAGCATTAAAAAACTAAACACATACAAAAATCAACTTAACAAAAAGTTTTGTATAATGGTTGTATTAAAGCTATTTTATATTTTTCAATGAGTAGATCCTTGCAATTGGTGTTATGACCTAGGTTCTCTAAGTAAGGTCATTTATGAAGAAAATTAAAACAAAGCTTTTTCTTAAATTGTAAGAGCCTTCCATGACAGATGGAGGTAAAGGGCGGGTGAAAATATAAAAAGCGACTAAAAACGGTAGGATTTAAACCCCCCAGAAAGCGCCACGCTACACCCCTCAGAAAGCGCCATGCTACACTCCCCAGAAAGCGCCATGCTACTTCTCCCAGAAAGTGCCATGCCACTCCCCTGAGAAAGCACCATGCTTCTCCCCTGAGAAAGCGCCATGCTACACCCCTGAGAAAGCGCCATGCCTCTCCCCTGAGAAAGCGCCATGCTACTCTCCCCAGAAAGCGCCATGCTACTTCTCCCAGAAAGTGCCATGCCACTCTCCTCAGAAAGCGTCATGCCACTCCCCTGAGAAAGCGTCAT